ACCTTAAAATTTCATAATATCCGAAATCGTCCCACCCCTATCCACCACCATACACAGTCGCCTTGTGTTTGTCACGTGACACCTAGAATAAAAATCTAGAACAATTAAATTCAATTTTTTTAGGACCTATAGAGAATGTAGAAACAATTAAAGTTAATTACTAGAATGACTTWGGAAAGTAGGGTAATTACTAGAATGACTTTGTTAAATCTAATAAGTTGACACAACTCGATAAAAGACAAATAAACCTTAGTAATCTATTTTATTTACGAAACTACCATCGTGAAACCTAAAAAAAAAAAATTATAAGTCTGTCATAACTATCCAATAAGTCTACCACCACATGTATACGTTGAAAGTTCTTTAAACCAATCAATCAAATATTTGTTTGAAACCACCGCCGCGGAGGCTGCGGAAACACCGGATCGTGCTCGGCGGAGGTGGGGAGGCTGCAGAAGCACCGAGATTTAGGTAAAAATCGAACTAAAAATCAAAATTTGAAAAATAAAACTCAAAATCTTTTGATTTTTTTGTTAGAAAATGGATATATGATGTTAGATCTACTAGTTGTAGGCTAAACCCAGTTGAAAACAAGTTAAAACACAGCAAAAACGAGCTAAAAATGAGTTGRCCGCCATTGTTAGGGTTTGACATAAGCTTGGGTGTGTTKGAGAAGATGAAGGRTAAATTACRATTTTGTCATTCATTGAATAAGTCTACCACTACTATAAATAAATATTATAAGTCTACCACTATTACAAATAAGTCTACCACATATTATAAATCTACCACTACTACATATTATAAATCTACCACTACTACATATTATAAATAAATCTACCACCACTGTAATAAACTAAGGTCATTTCAGTAAAACTCTGAAAAAATTTAATAAGTATACCACAAATACAAATAAGTCTACCAAATTTTACAAATCTACCACAACGTTAAACAAGTCTACCATCGGACGAAACCAGAATTAAGTCTACCACCACTAAAGATAAGTCTATAAGATATTATAAATCTACCACTACTATAAATAAGTCTACCATCGGACGAAACCAGAATTAAGTCTACCACCACTAAAGATAAGTCTATAAGATATTATAAATCTACCACTACTATAAATAAGTCTACCATCGCTAACCATCAGTAAGTCTACCGATAAAAAAATTAAATCTACCATCACTACAAATAAGTCTACCGATCAGAAAATTAAGTCTACCAGTACTACAAATAAGTCTACCAAATCTTATAAATCTACCACTACTATAAACAAGTCTACCATTGCGCGAACTATAAATAAGTCTACCACTACTACTAATAAGTCTATTACTCAACAATAAATCTACCATAACTGAAAATAAGTCTACCATCGCACGAACCATCAATAAGTCTACTAATCACAACAATAAATCTACCACAACCAGTAATAAGTCTACCACTCAAAAATAAATCTACCACCATTATAAATAAGTTTACCACTACTACGCATAAATCTACCGTAACTATTCAATAAGTCTACCACTACTTTCAATAAGTCTACYACTACTACAACTAAGTCTACCACTACTATAAACAAGTCTACCACTGCCTGAACCGTAATAAGTCTACCGACCACTTAATAAATCTACTACTACTACAAATAAGTCTACCGATCCCAATATTAAGTCTACAAGTACTACAAATAAGTCTACCATATTTAATAAATCTACCACAACTATAAATAAGTCTACCATCGCGTTCACCGTAATAAGTCTACCAGACGTTTAATAAGTCTACCATCACAGAATGGTAGACTTATTTCATTTTGACGGGAACAAATTTCGGCCTCATTAATGGCAGTTTCGTAAATACGTTTTTTGTCTTTAAAGAAAATAAGGTTAACATAGGAATTAAAAAAATTTCAAGTCCATTCTAGTAATATTCAAAGATAAAGGTCATTCTAGTCCAAATCTTTGCTTGACAAGGTCATTTTAGTAAACCTCCCGTTAGAAAATTCAAAAAAAAAAACCATTATGTTAAGCAACAAAGAATATTTTATCTCAGTTTCCTGCATTATCGATTTTGGTTCCAGACCGGATTTAACTTGTGTGATAAAATATTTTTAACGAAAAATTAGTTTTGAACATTTCATTTAAAAAGAACACTAAAGATTACAAAGACCAAGTTATCTCATGAAACTCATGCATAATCTTTGTTAGTTTATCGATTTGGATTAGACTTTGTCTTTGATGTATTTTCTATGTTTTAATCATCTAGTTTCTTGGAGATCGGGCTTATGTCTCCCGGAAATCGGGCTTGTGATTCCGGGGAAGCCGGCTCTTGTAAACGTTCTGCGTTCTTAATGAAAATCTTTAGATGAAAAAAAAAAAAATTACAAAGACCAAGTTGTTTCATATATTTTGGGGGATGTCTAACTCGAACATGTGCTTCTTTGCAAATATTCAAAAATACAACAAACATAAAAAATATTTCCAGTATCATCAACGTAAATATATCTCAGTCCAAGAACTATCTACAAAGCAACAAATATGGTTAAGTTTTGTCAATGGCCTATTCAAAAGTAAGTGGAGTTCCTTTAGCTGAGGCTTTAGACCAAGTTTTGAAATGCACTAGCTCTTTGTTAATCGCATCCGAAATCAACCATTTTTTTTGTTTCGTTGTTTTGAAATAATTGGTCATTTTGTTCATTCCCTATTCTCCATCCAATAACAGGGGAAGAGATTTACTATGTCTATCCATTCTTTATTGAGGATCGAGGAAGCAATCTTCTCTTGAGAGTTATGAGAATGAAGATAGGCACATGGTGGTTGAGTTCTCATGTTTCTCTGCTTACACGAAACTGGAAGAGAAGGTGAGTAACACTTTCTTCATCTTCATCTATACATAGCTGAATTCCGATTACTCTTAAATTAGGATCATTAGTAACACCTCTTCCTTTTTGCAGGTTTAGATGGTGTAGTTGACAACCACTTATCATCTACTACGACTAACCATTTTATACCGTAAGTGAGAACAAGACAAGATTTGTTGCTGAAACTGCAATGACTACAAAGTATAAGAGATATAAGATGATGCAAGAGGAATTTTTAAATGAAAGAGAAACATAACATTAGAAGTAATGTTCAATATTTGTTTGAATGAATGAATTAAAAGGTCTCCGATTTTAGCATCCTCGTT